AAAAAACATTTGGCAGGAAAAATCTTTTTAAAACAATTTGTAAAATCTTCTCATAACACAATTCACGAGTAAAATAATAGTACTTCAAATATAAATAATTATTTCCAAACCACAATAATTACAACATACCAAATGTACATAAAGTACCAAAACCATTCTCAAAATAATTCCAAACACTCATAATCAATATTAGCATAATCAAACCAAAATAAATCCAAAAGTATTTGTACTATGAAATTCCACAAATAATTTGGTAATTCAATCCAACTCAAATTCAATCCAAATATAATGTAATCCAATAATCCAACAATTCAAATCCAATCCAGTCAAATATAATTCTCCTCAAAACCTCAATCCGAATATAATTTGTACTCTAGTAATGTCTTAAAATATAATTGTATTAAACTCCTAATACATTTGAAGGGCGGTGCTCAACATTTTATTGAGCCCGATGGTCTGTTGTTATGTACAGCCACCCCGGGACTTTTGCCGGTACCACTTCTAACCTGAGGAAACTGAACCTCTACCTTAAGTGTGCACACCCCCTGAAAGGGATTCCAAGCCCTACGGGTAGTAAGAAGCCCAAGTAGTTCGGACGTCAACGTCCCCCTACTCCACCAAAAGGGATTACCCTATAGAAGTGACTAGGTACTGCTACTACTGCCAAAATCCACCAAATATCTATCGTTCGGGATTTTTCTACCGAACGCACCAAACTCATTTATTTAAATTGTTCGGATTGGTTACCGAACCCACCAAGCAAATAGTAGATCCCTAATCACTCTCCACAGTCAAGGTCGTGGAGGACACCGACATCCCGGATTTCTCCCGTGATGCCCTTACATTGAAAGGTTCATTTTATCTTTATTATTTTCCAAAAATTCAGGGATTACTACTCACGTAATTTCCCCAAAGTTAATCATTCAACAATGCATCACATATTATACATAGATATAAATTTCCAAAATAAGGGTTAATCGATCCTTTAAACTCGAAAATTCCCAACATGATTAAAATATAGAATACTTCATAAATAGCTCAAATCTCAATCCCAATAATGATTCATACATAACTTCAAATACTCAAAAATATCACACAATATTCAATACTCAAATCTCAAATATAATCCCCAATAACAATCCATAAATAATTCTAAATACTAAAATACGAAGTATAAATGTAAATGCTAGAAATCTCATAAAGTAGTCAAATAATTTCAAATAAATAATCATATATAGATTTACGAGGAAAAGTATAATTTTGGTTGATGTAGAACTTACCTCAAATCGTGATAACTCCTAACCGAAGCTTCGATCTTCTCCAAGTTTCACCTTCTAAGAATATTAAAATTCTAAAATTAATAATTATTCCATTTTTTTTCTAATTCCTGATTAATCACTTTTATTTGCTTAATCCGTAATACTTAATCCATCAATAATACAATTCACACATTCGGCCCAGTTAGAATAAACTTAGTCCATCGACACAAAGGAGTGCAGACTACTTACGTACGTACATCGTTCTTCTTCGCAATACAGTACCGGCGACGAAGGGCGATACTTCAGCGGCGAACTCTCGGCGTCCTCCTTGCACGGCAAAGCTGCTAAGTGATGGATGGTGGTATGGTAGCGACAATTATCGTTCTCCGTCGGCATCGTTCCAATTTCCAAAGGTCCGGCCACCCGTAGCGGCGGAGTCTTCTTCTTCTAGAGATAAGGGGTGTTCGCCCCAGTACAGTCTTGTACGCAGGTCGGCAGTCCGGCGTGGCGGCGTACCACTGGGTCTTCTTCTCCAGCGAGTTTCCCGCCTTCTCTGACGTCCTCTCTTCTCTGTCGTTCTTTGGCGAAGGAGATGCAATCGTTTAGCAACTCATCCTGGTTGTTGTTCGCACGGTTAAGGAGTCGTGTATTCGTATGTAGGTTATCTTTTGGATGCAGGCGGCTAGTCGAGCGAATGTATGTATATACGGAATATAAATGCAGCTGATGGTTCTAGGGTTTTCGGTTTTATTCGTCGCCGATGGTTCTGGATGATACGTTATAAATAAAAGTTTAGAAATCTTTTGCCTTTAATACGAACGTGCGTAGTAGGAAAGTCACTCTTTGTCTCGGGGTGTAAGCGTTATACGTACACACATATTATTATATATATAATATGGACTAATTAGTTTACCTTGGTTACCTAGAAGGTTAGCTAGGAAAAATCAAACGTTCCTTATATTTATAATAGTACGTATGTGCTTGCGTCTAGGGTATTAATTATATACCTAGTATTACGTAGTACTATGGAGTAAATATATACTTCGTATATGTGAATAATGTGTAGGGTGGGTAATTTGGTGTATCACATATATTAAGTGTAAATTTTTCTAAAATGTACACATTTAACGACATTAGTTAATATACCATTCTTTTGGTATTTGAGTCAAAAGAATTACTTGATCAAAATTTGTAAATTATATTTACATTTTTGGAGTGTCACATTCTACCCCCCTTAACTACCTCCGGTCCTACGGGGCCGAGGTGTTACACAAATATAAAATAAACCTAAAATACTAATAAGCCCTCAACTGACTAAGGGTCTGTTTGCAACAGCTTCTGCTTTTAAAAAAGTGTTTTTTTTTAATGAAATGAGGAAAAGTGATTAAAAAAAAGTTGATAGTGTTTGAGAAAAAAGTGATTTTGAAAAGTAAAAGTGGGTAGTGTTTGGTAAAATAAGTGCTTTTTGTGTAATAGAAAAAGTAAAAGCACTTTTGACGCGGAAGCCGAGAAAAATAAAAGTTGTAGTGTTTGAGAAAATAAGTGCTTTTTTAAAGCCAAAAGCTGAGAAGTGCTTTTTTAAAAGCAGTTGCAAACCAACCCTAATCTAATTGAGATGAAAGACACGGATGATCAATTAAAATAAAGGGCTAGGATTAAGTTTGTAGGTTAACATATTAAGATGAGTTTGCATTGAACTCTTATATATATATATATATATATATATATATATATATATATATATATATATATATATATATAGATAAGAGATCACATACTAACCATGCTTAAAATACTAACTTACTAACTCAATAATATGCAACACATTGAACTTCAATATGCAGTACAAATAATGTAAAGATGCACACTGTGAATTTCAATATGCAATAAAAACAATATGCAAAACTTTGAACTTTAATATGCAGTACAAATAATATGCAACACTTTGAACTTCAATATGCAGTACAAATAATGTAAAGATGCACCGTTTTTGATAGTTAGTAGGTTAGCATGGGAGGAATGGTTAGTATGTGATCTCACCCCTATATATATATATATATATATATATATATATATATATATATATAGAGTAGTCTTCCGGTCAGGTATACCTGACCGGAGCCCCGTCCGACCTCCTCCATTTGGGGGCCTTCCTGGTGGTATTTTTTGCTCAAATTTTTTGTGTAGGTTCCTCATCAAGTCTAGTTCATCCATACCAAATTTCAGCCAAAAATTCAATCGGGAAGGTCGTCAAATGATTTTTGCAAGTTAACTGGTCCGGAAAATACATATTCCGGACCAGTTAACTTGCAAAAATCATTTGACAACCTTCCCGATTGAATTTTTTTCTGAAATTTGGTATGGATGAACTAGACTTGATGAGGAACCTACACAAAAAATTTGAGCAAAAAATACCATCGGGAAGGCCCCCAAATGGAGGAGGCCGGACGGAGGGAGTGGTCCGGCCTGGCCGGACCTGAACTTTAGTGTATATATATATATATATATATATATATATATATATATATATATATATATATATATATATATGTTGTGGATCAAATGTGAACCATGCTTAACGTGAGAACGCGAGAACTCCACTTTAAAACAAACCTGATGCACTATAACATTTATACCTTGCACATTTTGGTGTTGTTAATTTACAAATCGGCCGTCACATTTATTTGATGTTGGCATATTTTTACCAAAGTTTAAAAAGTGTAATAAATAAGCCTCATCGTGCATCAAGTTGTGATAAAAGTGCATGGTTCTCACGTTCTCACGTTAAGCATGGTTCTCATTGGAACCGCTCCCTATATATATATATATAGGGAGCGGTTCCGGTGAGATAGGGGTCTTAGGAGAGTAAAAAAGAATAAAATCTAACCCTCCAATGTATGAAATCAAAGACCAAGATCGATTGTAATTAGTGGTGATTAATACAAACTTTAAATGGCAATTCTAACATCAATTGGAATGGTCATAGTATAAAGGATAAAATTGTAAAAACTCTTATGAATTAATCACGTTAGTAAGGTTAGTTAATGCACCACTACTCAAATTTCCATATATTTCGGGCTACGTATTGTTAAGTGAATAAATCCTAAAATTTTGGGCTACGTATTGTTTTCCATTAATAGATGATTTTTTTGGATTTTCATAGTATTTTCCACTATTAAAATATTTTAAATATTAACTTAAATTAGTTTCCTTTCAAAAAAAATTAAATTAGTTAATTTTGAAAGTGCACTTTTACTCAAATCAAGTTGCATTCTGAAGTCATGAAGGTAACATTTGATCTCAATTTAAAAATACAAAAATACTAACATGCACTTTAAAATAATGCACATTTTTATAGAATCTTTGAAATAACATATGTGTCTTCGAGTGCTTTAAAAATTTATTAGTTGTACAGATTTTTTTTAGTGATTGTGCAAAATTCAATAAGTATATGTGCATTATTATAAAGAGCATATCAATTAATCTAAGTTCATTTAAATATTTACACATGTTTGGTTTAGAAGTGCATTTATGATAATCTAATGTGCATTTTGTTCATCTTCCTAGACATAATACTTCATCCATCTAATTTTGTATATTTGCACTCTGACATTGAATAAATGCACTTTTATTCGGAATATTATGCAACATCAATTTAGTTAAGTATTTGGATATTTTTCAATTTCAAGAGAAATGAGATGTTTATTGAGTTAATATGCATCGATATAATTGAGATTGCATGTTTTTGGTTTGGACTTTTGAATCTACACTCTACACATGTTGTGCACATCCATACATGTTTTAAAAATGGATATAAATATTCAGGCGTAAATTTTAGACATATACAAAAATGCATTATTATATTACGCTTCATGCATAACTATATTGCCACTCTTTTACAAAATAAAATGCACTTTTATCATGTGCATACCAAATTTATAAAAATTGCACTACTATATATTACACTTTCTAAACTTCCATATCCGCACTTTTATCATTATAACTGCACTTTTCTTCCAAAAGCATCATACTTGTTCCACATTATACGATGCTGCCTTCTGATTTCACCTGTATTTGCAAAAAAAAAAAGTAAAATTAAAAACTAATTAATGAAAAGTGCAAGAACAATAAGCTTAGTGCATAAAATTTTAATTGAAAATTTACTTTTATTATCTAAAAATTGATGGCTATCATATATGTATTTCACACATGTAAAATGCATTACATGACAATGTAGATGCACTAATTATTGGTGCAAATCCACAAATAAAAAAATTATATTAGTGCAAACTACAAACCTAAACATTGTGCAACAACAATAAGTAAACGTGCAACAAGAAACATTTATTATTGCATCGAATTCAACAACTAGCATTTTAAATATCCCTGAAATCATCAAATGTAAAACCAGATCAATATAAAATTAGAATAACGATGGACCATTACCAAGCACTGAAATCTGCCAGAACATCAATACATAAGAATGAATCATAAGAAAAGTTGATTAACCAAGAATTTGATGCATAGGAAGAGTAAATATATATAATTATTTTTAAAGCAAATCACAAACTAGATTAAACAGCAAACGAAGATTGCAGAAAAATGAGGGAGAGGGAGACAATAGACAGTTCGGCGCTGTGCTCTCTTGCAACTAGCGTTCGGCCATCATGTTGTGGACTTTCTTCTCCAACCTCCTTGCTTCGTGCCACATCTTCCTTTCCGATTTTCAGATAATAAGTTTCTGGAATCTGTTTAAAGTAGGTATTATGTTTTGATTCGTAAAACAGGAACACGATCGGTCTGGTAGAGATTTCAATGGAACCATGAAGGAGAGAAGCAATGCGCAAGGGAAACACGTTAGGAAAGAATGGCGGAAAACAGTTAAGGAAAGAATAATCAAACGAGATTGTAGGAAACAGTAGAATTAGAAGTGACGTGAATACCCTTAATGCAAGTTAATGACACGATCAAATTAGAAGTGAATCCAATGGTTGATATCTATTATTTTTTACTCTTCTAAGATTAAGTTCTCACATGAACCTAAATCTATACACACACACACACATATACATGTGTGTGTGTGTGTGTGTATATATATATATACACACACACACAAAACCTATATAGGGAGCGGTTCCGGTAAGAACAGATCTTAGGAGAAAAATGAGAACGAATCTGGACCGTTGGATTGTATTATGTGGAACCAAATTGTGCATTTGGTGAAACTGAAATGTGCATTAAATGATATTGAAATGTGCAAAATAAAAATTTAAACTCAAGTGTGCATTAGATGAAACCAATATGTGCGGGGGAAAAGTACAAAAATAACATCACATCGTACTTTTTATTCTGCACATTTCAGCTTCACCTAATGCACATTTCAATTTCACGTAATGCACAATTCAACTGCACATAATGCCACTCTATCGTACCCTTTGTAATGCACTTTTCAATTTCACCTAATGCACATTATAGTATCATCCAATGCACACTGAATCTCACTTGAAGCAAATCTAACGGTCCTGATTCGTTCTTATTTCTCTCATAAGATCGTGTTCTTATTTGAACCAAAACCTATATATATATATATATATATATGTATGTATATATGTATGTATGTGTGTGTGTGTGTGTGTATATATATATATATATACGTGAGAACATAACAATAGAAAGAATTATCATTTCCGCTACAGGGAATCGGGATGTTAAAGAGCTTCAACAAGTTGTACTTTCAACGCAATTATGCTTCTGGAGTGTAACTGCAATCTATCCAACATGGCAACAATCAGGATAAAAACTGCAAGGCGCTGGTGTCTAATCCCCAAAATTAACCAGCAAAGGCACTCAGAGAGTCAGATTACTAATATTATACACTCTGTTCTAAAAATCGTTCTAGGCGCCCGACTAGCCCCGCCTAGGCGCTAGGCGGTGGTCGGGCGCCCCGAATTTTTGATTAGGCGCTACGACTAATTGGTCGGCCGCCTATGGCGCCTAGTTGCCCGCCTAGAGCGCCTAATCGGTCGCCTAGGCCGTCTAGATTCGCCGAACATTATATTACTTCACTTTTAATTTTAATTTTCTAAGCGATATATATATATATATATAGGGAGCGGATCGGGTGAGAAGTGCTCTTAGGCTGAGAACTGCGAAGTTAAACTTATAGACTAAATATAGGAACTTTTAACCAATAAATCATTACTTATAAACCCCTCGAAAATAATTACAAAAATGCCACCGCAAAAAAGTAATTACGGAAACCTGGAAATTTTTTTGACGCGGTGGCATTTTCGTAATTATTACGGAGAGCTTTATAAGTTATGATTTATTGGTTATAAGTTCATATATTTACTCTATAAGTTTACTGCGTTGTAAAATCAGATGCAGATCTAAGGGCTGAGATTACTTCTCACTTCTCATTTTAAGGGGCACTTCTCACCTGATCTTTTCCCTATATATATATATATATTCTGGTTCAAATGAGAACGAGTCTTAACGTGAGAACGTGAGAACAAATCTTAGCCATCCAAAATAAGTATCCATGACCGATCAAATAAATGGTATGGGAGGACATTTACGTCTTCCTCTATGGGATGAGCGATCTTTCAAATGTGTACAATCACCAACCATACCGTCAGATGCACTAAATCACCTCGACAATGCACATTTCTATAAAATTCCAGAAAGCTATTTGTGCTTTTACCTATCTATTTCGAAATGCACAAGTCATCGATACTATCACACAACTATACCTACACTCTGAATTTGTGAATTCCCTAATTCAATACACACTCGTATGCCATCTGCATATATGTAATCTTTACCACTTCTAGTCACTTAATTTCAACTAATTAAAACACATTAACCTAGTCCATTGAAGTGCACAAATTTAGTCGTGAAAACTCTAGAACATAGCTTCTTCATTAGTAGACCTTTGCATTATCATCATTATGTGTTCTTCTGGTAGAAAACTTATTTCCGCTGATCACATGCACAATTCTTTCCCCTTTCTGCACTTCAATCTCTATTTAGTTCACGCCGGGTTATCTATTGTCTATATCCTTAAATTAACCTTTTCTTTCCATATTTCTTCCGAATTAATTTCGTCAGTCTCCCAACTTCTCCGTATCTCTTGCGTTACTATGGCGATTTTTTGGGAATCGGAAACCGTTAGACGCCACCCACAAAAGGTATGGGTTTTTTAAATGACCAGTGCACCCTTTTTTACATTGCACGTTCCGTTTTTCAATTATTAAGGTGAAGCTATTGTGCAATGACGTGCATGGTAATATTGTGCACCAATTCGTTATTAACCACTCATCTAATAAGATGGTTGGCTATCATTTGTTCTCACTTCTCACAATAGGGGGTGTTCTCATTAGAACCACTCCCTATATATATATATACATATAGAGTCCCGTTCTTGTCCAGCCGGCCTGACGGGATGCTCCGTCCGGCCGAGCGCATTTCGGGCACTTCCCGGTGGAATTTTTTGATGAAATTTTTTGAGCATGTTCTTCATGAAGTCTAGTTTATCCATACCAAATTTCAGCTAAAAATTCAATCGGGAAGACACTCAAATAATTTCTTGAAGTTAACTGGGCAGTTTATATGTATGAACTGCCCAGTTAACTTCAAGAAATTGTTTGAGTGCCTTCCCGATTGAATTTTTAGCTGAAATTTGGTATGAATAAACTAGACTTCATGAAGAACATGCTCAAAAAATTCATCAAAAAATTCCACCGGGAAGTGCCCGAAATGCCCTCGGCCGGACGGCGGTTCCCGTCAGGCCGGCTGGACTTTGACTTTAGCCATGGATATAAAGAAATGAAGTTGTAAATTAAGATAAAACTATATATGTTTGTATATATACCTAAATTTTATCATTATTTATATTTATAACATAATGAAGTTAAGTGATTAGTTATCATATACTATGTATGATTAAATTTGATAATTCTATCATTCATATTTGATAATGTATACGTATATATGTATTTTATACACACAAAAATACAATATTACTTATCATATTTATGCAAATATATAGATAAAAATGCAATTTCTATGTCTCCGACTAGTCCCCGACTAGGCGCCCGCCTAGCTGCCTAGGCGCTAGGCACTGGGTTGACGCTCGACTAGCGCCTAGCGCTTTTTAGAACATTGATTATACATATTACTAATGTTAGTAGTCTTGTTGGCCATAATAGGGAGGAAACTTTACTTTAATCAATCATCAACTACAGTGTGGTACTTGCAAGTTCGAAGACGAAAAATATACCAGAAGCCCCATAATGTACAAAGCAGTTTGACATCAACAACAACCTGCTCACTCTGATCTAGAAAACTTCCTAACTTGCCAATCCAGGTCATCCCTTCACCAAAAGAAAACTTGGCTCACCATCATCATCATTACCCTAGTGTCGCAAAGGCTCCCACCTACGGTGGGGGTGGGGGGGTCGGATGTACACAGTCATAACCCTGTACTACAAGCACATAGAGACTGTTTCCAGATGACCCAGAGTGAAAATTGCGTCCAAAATTGCATGGACTGAGTGTTGCTACATAACAATGAAGCACGAAAAGTTTAGCGAGCCATTTTACTTTATTTCATCATATTCTCAAGCCAAAAATAGCGAGTCTTTGACTCCATTGCAAATGATGGGGAAAAAAAGAAAACTTGGCTAATGGTAAAAAATCAGGGAAGTTCATTAAAATCCACAGCCCCCATTATTAGTGGGAAAAAGTCCTCGCTCGCCAGTCACTAATGACCCGGTGGTGTAGTTTCAGACTTCCAGTCTCTATCTCTCTTCTCTACCAAATAGGAGACCTGGATCAAGCCCCCACCCCATGTAATGTACTCCCTCTGTCCCATTTATTTTGTCCCGTTTTACCTTTTCGGGAAGTCCCACTTATATTGTCCCATACCATATTTGGCAAAGTTTGTGTGGTTCTAAATCATTCTTACTTTATTCTTACTTTATCAATTAATATCAACCACACAAACCCACTTTTCTTAATAACCGTGTCACTCTCTTCCGGGACAATATAAATGGGACGGAGGGAGTAGTCAGTAAGGGTTGAGGAGTTTTGAAGACTTATGGACGGCTTGTTCTATATCTTGATACATACTCCATAGCCCGTATAATGTTTCAAAATACAATAAAAGGTGATTGAGAGGTTAGACAGTCATATATTATGCTAATTTTCCAAATTTTATTAAATCTCAAATATATATAAAGGTAGTCTAATAAACCCAGCATGATCTTCCTTGACAAAATCCTCCATCAAAATAGACCCTAAAAAGCGCTAACAGCAGACCAAGCCTGGTGCCTAGCAATGTGCGAGGCTTAACGGGGGATGTTAAGAAAAACAGGTCAGGGGGGCTGGGGGATCCTGGAGTAATCATGGCTGAAACTCACTCCACTGAGTTTCAACCCCTAGCGAGTTTCGAACTCGAGACCTCTCACTAGGCACGGTAATCTCACAACCAGCTGGGCTGGAATGCTTGGTTGGACATAAGGGTGGATAAGTTCTTAAGTGATTCCTTTTATGTGACAGAGAAATTTAATGATATTACATTTACATAAGGGTGGATAAGTTCGGTCTGGATCGAGTATTGGTAAACCCGAAGAACAGCCCTAAAATCCAAGGTTATGAAAATTAAAACTTGAACAAGGACTATTATATTTGGTCCAAGTCGTGTTTTTAATATCTTGGGTTAGGGTAGGGCCGGTTAAAGCCGAACGAGAATTCATCACGTCGTCCTTTTATATTTATCGCTCGATAGTACATGTCACGCAAAATAACACAAATATTATCGTTGTAATTACCAACAAATCAAATCCAATTTTTAATATTTAGTATGTTTAAAATAATGGGGGTTTCTCATTATTTAAGGCAATTGTTCTGGGTATGTTGATTAGGTTGTTGGGATATGGACTTTAGAGACCACGAGCGCGGTCGGTTTTTCGGATTTTGTTGGGTGATTTCTACTCGGACTGTCTAAAAAAGAAATTACCCAGAGTGCCAAGAAATTTCAAACCAAGTTAGGGTCAGTTTGTGATTTTCAATTCGGTATTTTCCAGTCCGTGCATCGCACGAGTGAGTTATTAGAAGAAAGGATTTTAACGGGGCGTAGTGTTGAAAATAAGGTGTTAATTCACAAGCATTGCTTATCGCCTTCATATGTTAGTTTGGCATTCCAATTCCATATACAATAATACCCAAAAATGACTTATTATGACATGATGACTATAAAAAAGTAAAAACAATATGTCATTATCGCATGTTGATTTGTTGTTCAATAAACATATTTTAATCATGGCTAACTTTATGTGATTGTGTCTAGAGTAATCAATGATAGTGGAACAAACAATGAAACCAAAAATGATGTGTATAAAGAACTATTTTAATAACATTTATCATTAAGTTTAGTGTGTTTCAAATTATATTTACCGTGTCACTGCGTGCTACTTACTATTTTATTGGGTTATAAAAATTAGTGTACTACTCCATAATCATTGATAATCGTATTAGATATGTTTAATTTTACATCAAATTTTAATTTTTTATGAGGTATAATTCTAAATTATTAAATTAAATTTACAAATTTGTTTTTTATACACGTGATCATGCATAAATTGTAATTTTTTTCTGAAGTTAATCATACACGTGAAATTTCACCAAGCGTGCATCACACTGGAGTTGTACATATTTTTGAATTAAGAACTACTACAGATTCTATTCTACCTATTGAATGTGTTTCGAAAGTTATTGTGCTTAAATGATAGCATTACTTTTCATATACAGACTCAACAAACATTTTCTCACAAAATCATATATGAGTATTGTTTAATAATGCCATAACACACTTTCACACATTTGCACCCCCCTGATTTGCCAATTTACCCGGGCAATTCGTGTAAAAAATGCAATTTGTATAAATGCATAGTCACCATATTACTCAAGACGTTTATACTTAGACTTATTTCAATCTCAGACCAAACCAAACTTCAACAAACAAGACCAGACCATACTTGGATACTAGAAATAGTAGAAGCACCTATTTGAACTTTTCCCACAAACTTAGATTCAAGTATAATTCAAGAATGACATAACACACTTTCACATATTTTACTCCCTTATTTGACCTATTTAGACAGACAATTCGTCTAAAAAATGCAATTCGTGTAAATTTATAGTCACCTTATTACATAGTCACATGGTTCGCGGTACGATTCGATACGGGAACGAGGAACGGGAATGCGGTTCGCTAGATCTAGCGTATCCGATTCGGAGGGGGGTAGGTTCATTTCGGTACGCGTTCGGTACGATGTACCTAATATTTTGGTACTATAATAAAAATATAAAAATGAATTATAGAATACAGAATTACAGATTTCACCATTGAACAAAAACAGATTTCATAACATGATTTCATAACATTAAACAAAAGCAAAAACATTAATATTCAGTTAATTAAAATATAAATTTGATGAGTAGGAATAATTAGGATCAGAAAACGAAGAGCTAGTTGGGACTTGGGAATCGGTACGCCTATTTTAAAACGAAGCGTACTGATTTTAAACTTCTCGTCTCAAACGAGTCAAACCAAACGACGATTTTTTTTTCAAATAGTGATCGATGGGGATACATACGCGGAACGACCTGCGTTGAGTTTCCGATCACAATTGAAAACGACTGAGGTCGTATCAGACGGCGTTTGAGCTCGCTTCCAGATGAGTTTGGGACCGACTGGCACAGCGTTCCGGAGAGCGTTCCATGCTGCGTTCGGATCGCGTTCGTACCGCGATTCGGTACGAAGCGTTCGGTACGTAGATCGCGGGTATTTTAGCGATTTATGTATCTATGCCTTATTACTTAGTCATTATAAATAATTTACCACCAATTAATTTATATAAACCTTTGAAAATGAAAAAAACATGGCAAAATCATTTGCGCATCGCAAGGTGAATTACTAGCAAAACATTTTACTAAAAGAAATGATTTTGACATAAGTTAGTGCGAGCAAAAATGTGTCGATTCCTAAGCATTCCTATTAACAACTTCAAATGTCAATAGTCATTGTGGCGAATTGTTTTGTTGTTGAAAATACACTTTTTAGTCCTATTCAACTTTGTGTGGTTGGGTTAATAATAACCAATCAACATTATAGTGCCTGATACATACCATAAAAACTCTATATAGTATAACTTTAAATAATGTAGTATAACTTTTTTAGTCATATTCAATTAAAATTACAAGTTTAGTTTTATTTCAAAATAAATTTGATTAAAACTAAGGAATTTCACCAACCGTGCATCGCACGATCAATCGATGAGATACCAATGTACTATGACTGTAAATACATTTTTGCGTGCGAGGCTGTTTGGCGCATATTTGGGTTTGAAATTCATTATAAGCCCCCGATGTTGAACATTTGAGCTTCCATTTGCCGGAAGAATAAAGTGTTGTCTTTCGTGATGATCAGCCTCTGGATTCAGTGGTTCGGGCATGTTCAGTTAGGGCTGCACAGAAATTCCCCGAACCCGCAAAACCCGGCCGCTCCGACCCTACCCAGCCGACTTTAGTCGGTTATTGGGCCCATAAAAAATGTTGTGGGTTTATTTTTTAAAAACCCGTACAATTGGGTAGGGTTGCGGGATTCCCATGAAAAACCCGATAACCCCCCGACCTGGCCGCATAATTTAAAATTTGTACCTACGCCTCTACATGTTCTGCATTTGTGCTATTAATTCTTTGTTCTCTGGCTCTATACTTTCCGATTCCCATCTCATCGATGCCCTCAAACTTTAATTTCCTTGGACTCTTCGATTCTCAAAATATGAATACTATGAAAGCTTCAATGAGTTCAATCTTCATAATAGGCTCACGCTATTTTACCTATTTATATGCATCCAACAGCCCTAATCCCCCAAGTCTAATTTTCATCTTCTTTCTCTGGCAGTCAAGAACTCAGGGTCCTTCAAGAATAGTTGATCAGTTGAGCTACAAAAAGAGGTATGCACCTGTGTGCTTTGTTAATCCGACATAGTTGGTTACTTGGTTTACAGTTTTATTCTTTTCTTAATTTTTCATTTATTTCATATAACTCAGGATTTTTTTCATAATTTTGTGTAGATGGATTCACTCGATGTGTCTGATTCAGTTAATTTAAGTGTAGAAACGGTAGGAACACCCAGCCCTGCAAATCTCACCCCTTCTGAGAATCAAACCCCCCCTCCCGTTCAAGTCAGTGATGTTGAGGTAGAAAAAGGATCTTCAGGGAAAAAGAAATCTTACCTTTGGAGTCATTTTACTCTCATTTCAGGGAGGGATCCAAAAGACCCTAAGTGCTCTTGCAACTATTGTGGAGCACAATACAAATGTCACATTAGGAAGTATGGAACTAGTAGTATGAAAGTTCATTTTGAGCATCAATGTAAAAAAAATCCACACAAAGTCCAGGATAAGAAACAGAAATGCTTGAGCTTTGACATATCTGGAAATGGTGGTCTAACTGCTGTAGGGTTCAATAAAGACCATTGCAGGCTAGCTTTAGCAAAAATGGTTGCCATGGATGAATTGTCATTTAGATTTGTTGAGGGTGAAGGATTTACAAAGTTCTGTCAGGTAATGCAGCCCAGATTTGTTATCCCTTCTCGTATGACTGTTGCTAGGGATGTATCTAAGCTATTTTCTGATGAAAAGAAAAAGCTCCAAGCTGAGCTAAACAAAGGAAACCAGAGTATGCTTGACCACAGATTGTTGGACCTCTTTGCAAAATATAAACTATATGTGCTTAACTGCTCACTACATTGATGTTGAATGGAACTTGTGTAAAAAAGTTTTAAACTTCTGTCAAATTTCTAGTCAGAAGGGGGAGTTAGTTGGTAAGGTCATTGAATCTTGTTTGCATGAATGGGGCATTGAAAGAGTTTTAACAGTTACGGTTGATAATGCCTCTTCTAATGACACTATGATTGCATTCTTGAAAAGAAAATTGAATAGCTGGAAAGGTTCTGTTTTGGGAGGGGAGTTTATGCATATTAGGTGCTGTGCTCACATCATTAACCTAATTGTGAGCGAGGGATTAAAAGATCTTCATGATTCGATTTCTGCAATTCGTAATGCGGTGAGGTTTATCCGGAGTTCTCCGGCTAGACTTGCAAAATTTAAAGCATGTGCAGAGAGGGAAAAAATTGAGTTTAATGGGCTGTTAGTATTAGATGTACCCACTAGGTGGAACTCTACATACCTGATGTTGGATTCAGTCATTAAATTTCAAAGTGCATTCGAGAGGTATGAAGATGAAGATGACAAGTATTTGTCATATTTTGGTGAGGAGGAAGGTGGGAAAAAAAAGAAAGGTCCTCCAACTTACACTGATTGGGAGAATGCTGCAGTGTTTGCAAGTGTTTGTCAAGTTTGTGAAAGGTTTTTATAACACCACTTTGAAGTTTAGTGCTACCTTAAATATCACATCAAATGCCTACTTCCATGAACTATGTGAAATGCAAAGTCAGGTATGTACTTTCATATTATGCATTTTTTTACTTTTTTTATCTGCTTCTTAAGTTTTATATGATAATAATGAAAATACACTTTTTGTTTTGTGATTTATCCAGCTCACGTGCTTAAGCAATCAGAAGAGCTCTCTGCTTTCCAAGATGGCTGCTAGCATGAAGAAAAAATATGATAAGTATTGGGGGGATATTAATAATTTTAATTGTATCCTGTTGGTGGCAGTAGTACTTGATCCTAGGTTTAAAATGGAATACTTTACTCACTGCTTTAGTTACCTTTTTTATCAAGGATCTCCCCTTCATGAAATCTTCCCTAAAAAAGTGAAAGATACGTTGTATCGTTTGTTTGAGTTTTATAGTGGGTTTGGATCGGGAAATGGCGTGAAAGATAGCAACTGTGGTGAAGGAATTGCAGGTATGAGTACTGATGCTAGTCTGGAAGGGAGAAACTGTCTATGGGGCTCTTTTGCTCAAAAGATGAAGCAGAAGAATGCAAATGATTTCAAGAATGAGATTGAAAGGTACTTGGCAGATCCAATTGAAGATCCAGCAATTGAGAATTTTGATATATTATCTTGGTGGAAGCTAAATTGTTCCAAGTTCAACGTTCTGTCACAAATTGCAAGAGATGTCCTGGCTACTCCCGTGTCAACAGTAGCTTCCGAGTCAGCCTTCAGCACTGGTGGCCGAATCTTAGATCCATTTAGGAGCTCATTGAGTCCCAAGACAGTGCAAGAGTTGATATGCACTCAGAATTGGCTTCAGGGCTCTCTTCCTACTGAAAGCATAGACCTTGAGAAAATGGAGGCATATGATATTGCAGATTTAGGTATTTGTAGCTTATATTCTGAATTTAAATTTAATCTTTTAAACTTAATGTTTTAATGTATTTGATATCTAAATTGTGTTTTTTCTTTTCAGGTGGATCTTCTTTGGTTCTTCTTTGGTTGGCAATGGTGAGGCATTTTCTGGAGATGTTGGAGCTAGGGGTTGATTGATCAACATAAATGTTTTTTTGCTGCTGCACACATGGGCGGACTGTTTTCATTTTTTTTGCTTACTAATACTGGATTCTCAATTATGGAGATGCTTTTGTGGCTTTTATGCTTTTGCACTTATCTCCAGTATTGCTTGTTTTTTTTCTTATTGTTTCAAGCAGCTCTGAACTTCTTTGGTTATTAATTTAACCAAATGTTTTGCAGAACTATTTTTGTTTATCCATCTATGTATTCAGAATGCTTTTGTTTTACTCAATGGAAAATTAGTTTTGGAAAGTTGCATCTTTTTCAATCTGTCATGTGGGAGGATACTCCCATCTGTGTTCCCTGATTTGGCTTAGCACAGACTGCCCACAGTGTTAAACACAGCCCACATCTTGAATTTAGGTCGTAGTCATTGAAGTATTGAACTGTTATGATTCATTAGTCTTTAACTAAGCAAATGAGAGAGCATTCAAATTTTAGAGTGTCATCAAATTATTGACACGTTAGTAGTATGTCAAGTTTCTCTTTACTTTTTTTTCATTACTTTGAATCGGTGCTCACTGCTCAGTTAAAAACTGAAATTAAGATCCTCATTTTAGCTTTAAAAAAAGAGGCATGTGAACTTTTCTTTTATTTTAGTTTAAAACTTTTCTTTGTTATAAAAGAATGCATGATTTAGTTTTGCTTTTTCTTCACAGTTCACAAAATAGAAGTACAAAACCGTAAATGCTTCATAAGTGCATTAAGGATCATTAAGCAATGATTTTATTTTTGTTTACCCGACCCTACCCGACCCATCCATGTATGGGTTGTCAACTAATTTTACATATCGCGGGTTGGTTAATAGCCAACCCGATTAAATTGGGTAGGGTCAATTTTTTTAGCAAACCCGACCCGACCCGACCGATGTGCAGCCCTATGTTCAATGTTCAGTTAAGGACAGTGTGTTCACAACATGGATGGAGGCTAATAAGAAGTACCCGGAAGTAATTCTTTAGTATTGTGAGCACATCGATTTCAATGCATATTTACAATGTTATGGTTTCAATGTATTTGTTGGATGTTTTTTATCTTTTAAGTAATGCTTAGTAATCTCATTTTGACCATAACATTATAAGTGTGTTTCATTTAATGCTTTGATGTATATCAGTATTACATAAAGATAAATGATGTCAATAGTGTGATTTGAATTACTAAGCACACATAAATTTGAAAGAAAAATTCTCAAACCGTGCATCGCACGGGTGAGTTTACTAGTATATATAAAGGTAGTCTAATAAACCCAGCATGATCTTCCTCGACAAAATCCTCCATCAAAATAGACCCTGAAAAGCGCTAACAGCAGACCAAGCCTGGTGCCTAGCAATGTGCGAGGCTTAACGGGAGATGTTAAGAAAAACGGTTGTGATCAGCTAACTGAGCTACGTAATTACTTGATAGCTACTTGGTCAAAGGCCTAGTGGTGAATAGGATCCCCATAATTGAGGAGTCTTTGGTGGTCAGCTCGGTGCACATTGGCGAGTGTCTGGGGAAACGTCCCACCACAAGAGTGTACAGGGACCAGGGGCAAAACTTCATTAGTCATTTTGACAAGAGGCTACTCCCATGTGACCTACTGACCTCTTGGTCACATGCAGCACCATACTTGGAGGATCAAGGCTCGATATCCATATAAGTAAAAAATACTCCAGAAAAAATTTCCTTTTCAGGAAGTTCCAGAAGTCCCTCTAAGATGGTCCCATACCAAATTTGGTAACATTTGTGTGGCTCTAAATCATTATAACTTTATTTTTACTTTATCAATTCAATATCACCCACGTAAACTCACTTTTCTTAATAATCGCGCAACCTTCTCATGTCCCAATGTTAGTGGAACGGAGGTAGTAATACCTAAGTGGCACAGACACAGGAAACTGGAAACGTCGGAAATGCCATCTTTCAAAAATACAAGAAACAAAGCATGGGGGAAACACGTAAATATAAAAAAATATAGGGGTTATTTTATAAATAGTATTTATATGTATATACACACACATATATATGTATATATATACATACGTAAGTACAAACATGCCACACAAGATTATTTCATCCTAAAAAGTAATAATGACTCACCATATTGAACTGTAAAAATTATTCAAATATTAATCCGTAAGTCCTTGGTAGTGGAATAACATCATCCGTCATCATCACTATTAAATTTGACTTTTAATCTACATCCACTAATCTGGCAATCTACACCCAGTCACTCACTATCAGACATTCACAATTAAATATTGGGTTATAGGCTATGTGCGAATTTATGAAGCATATATTTACAAAGCTCAAAATTGTATAGCCATTAGCCAATATATTATACAGATGCGCAGTATTCTATTACTGACCGAGAAGAAGAGCAAAGGTAAAGAGACGGACCGGTTTGCAGAAGAAGGGGAGCGATTTAAGAGTTTGAGGTTACCGTAAATTGCTGAAGACGACAACCTGCTCACCAAGATGCTGAAGCCGACGCAGTGCTGAACAAGACGGGTTGAAGATGAGAAGTTTAATCCTACTAAACTCTAAGTTGTATTTGTTTGGGCTTCCAGATCATGTGAATGTAAAACTGCCCCAACCTAAATTTCTGAAACTCTTTTTTGAGAGGGAAACGAGTTTCCAACTTTCCCAAAACTAATATCCGGCCCCGACACCCATATAAGGCATTTCTCACGTTTGGAAACGTCTGTACGTTTCCGATACGGGGGAACTCACCCCTCCTGGCGTTTTCGTGCATTATAGAATAATACAAATCTTCAATAATATTAGTCTTATACTCCCTCCGTCCTGCTAAGATTGTCCCACTTTTCCTTTTCAGGAAATCCCACTAAGATTGCCCCATACCAAAAATTGGTAAAGTTTGTGTGGTTCTAAATCATTTTTACTTTATTCTTACTTTATCAATTCAATATCAACCACATAAACTCACTTTTCTTAATAACTGTGCCTAGGGCTGAGCATAATCCGGTCCGGACCGGTTGGACCCGGACCGGACCCGGACCGGATAGATACCGGTCCGGTCTTCGGTCCAAGGGTTTCACCGATTCCGGTCCGGTCCAAAACCTGGAATATTCCGGTCCAAACCGGTTAGACCGGAATTAAATTATATATATATGTGTGTGTGTGTGTGTGTGTATTAAATTTCTATACACACAAACACATACTTCGTATATAGTACACTAATTAATTTACTTTAAAAAGTACATTAATTAAGTGATACAATACCTTAGGCATTAACTCAAGCTACATACTCCGTACGTAGAATTATATACACTAGTAAAATTTTGTAGTATAAAAGCACTAGGAGTTGGAATATAAAGGTGCATTATATTTACTTATGTTTATTAGTTTTAATCATAATACATAGAGTGATTATTTGAATTCTTCTTTTTTAAATCATTGAGTCAAATCATTCACTAAATTAATGGAGCAAGAACATTAGTTTCCCGTACTAATATGGTCATTCACAAAAATTTAAAAAGTCAAAATTGAATCAAATAGTTTTCATATTTCCACTAGGCATAGTTTATGTGTTTATTTCTACTTATTTCATGTATTATAATGTACATTATATTATATTGATTAAAAAACACATAAAAATGCAAATCATACATATAAAAGAGTAAATTAGATATAATTACATGTAAAACATCATAAAATGATCCTCTGTAGTAGAAAGAACAAGCTAATAAGTAAATTTTTGGACAATCAAACTATTTTTTTAAAAGATGAACATTGTAAAAAAAAATCCGTCCAATACCGGTCCAGACCGGAAAACCCTGGAATAATCCGGTCCGGTCCGGTCCTGGACCGGAATTATATAGGTCCGTTCTTTGGTCCACTTTCTTTTAGAATTTCGGTTCCAGTCCGATCCGGTCTTGGACCTGTGCTCACCCCTAACTATGCCACCCCCTCTTGTCCAAATGTTAGTAGGACGGAGGTAGTACTACGTAATTCTTATATACACAAATTGCCAAACAATAGCCACAATGCAAAGCATGACTCATGCATTTAAAGAAGATCCCACCACATCTAACAAATCATATCTTCTTATATCCTACACTAATTATCATTTAGCTCGGTCAGATTTATCTGCAAATTCCTCCATGTCCCCGACACATCTAGAGTAAGAGTTTGTAGTTTTACGAACTATTAAAAGTTCAAGACCTTGAAAGGTATTTTTATCGAATTGAAATGTCCTCAAATTACTTGATTGTAATTTTCACATTTAGCTACAACTGAGTTAGTCATGGAGTACTCTCCCAAGTAACTAGGTTTTTTAAATCAGACTGAGTCGGGTGTGTGAAAGTATATTAGAATATACTTTAGAATATGCTTTAGAATATATTAGGAATATACCATATATAGTATTATTGTATAGCATCTTTTATAGGAATATTCTATCTTTGTAATCTATATTTATAGGGCCTTACCCTTCAATGAAATACACAGAAAATCTTTCTCTCCATCTTTAATATCATTTTAGTTTGTATTTCAACATGGTATCAGAGCCTTTCTGTTCCATTTGATTCTAATTTCACAGCCCAGTTTCTTCCCCTTCAGAACATCCCCAGTCCCAGAACCTCAGCAGAACATCCGCAGTCTCAGAACCTCCGTAGAACATCACTTTAGTTCATAAAATCAGTCCAACAACTGTCTCACCACCACCACCCTCTGGTTCGCCTGCCGCCGGCGACCGGCGACCTGAAGGCCGCACGCCCAAATCAGCGCGCGTGAGCTACACGCGCCGTCAGGAGCTTCCGGATCCATCGCACGCGCCGGCGCGTGCAGCCGTGTTTCTGGCCGGAGCTTTGATCGGAACCCATCACCTCAGTCGCCGTTGTGTCTTCTACAACATGTATTCGCTATTTCCAGGTATCTTTTGAACAACATGTATTCTCACTCGTTTGTTCTCCAGCCAGAGACGGATATATGTTGGCGGGAGGTAGTCTGGTTATTTGGTCGCTGGATATATATCGGATATATACCCCCTTCAACTGATTGTTGAGATCGGATCCAGTCCGTTTTATTGGGAAGTCCAAAGACCAAGCCTTGGAGCTTTGACTGGAGTCTATTTTACTGGAGTCCAAAGACCTAGTGGATTACTTATTTCGTTCTCCAAAATTTGAGCCCACGCACGTGAAAGGCTGCTGTAAGTTCATACTCCTATCTCAGTTTTGATTAAAAAAAAAAAAAAAAAAAAAAAAAAAAAAAAGAATCGAAAAAAAAAAAAAAAAAAAAAAAAACAAAAAAAAAAAACATGTCTTGCACGAGTGGATTTGACAGAAGAGTAATATGCAATTACTGTAAGAAGCCGGGGCATTTGATCAAAGAATGTAGAAAATTGCTGTTCAAAAATCAAGGAAATCAGGTTGCTCGTGTCGCTTCCGCTACCAGTTCATCTGATGGATCAGTTGCTATTTCTTCAGATGAGTATGCCAAATTTATTTGCTACCAAGAATCTCTAAAGCATTCGTTTGTCCCTATCTCGGTAGCCGTGAATTCAGGTATTTCAAACACATGTCTTGTTTCATCATCCTCAAAATGGGTCATTGACTCAGGTGCCACAGATCATATGACCGGTAATCCTAGTCTATTCTCCTCATTCCATTCATATTTACCCACTTCTAGTGTCACTTTAGCTGATGGATCTACCTCACCCGTTCTTGGATCTGGTACTGTTGTTCCAACTTCTACATTACCATTATCGCCTGTTTTGAGTCTTCCTAATTTTGCATTTAATCTGCTTTCCATCAGTAAAATCACGCGTACTCTTAATTGTTCTGTAACATTTTTTCCTGGATATTGTGTGTTTCAGGATCTGTTAACGAAGCAGACTATTGGTAAAGGACATGAGTCAGCTGGTCTTTATATTTTGGATACATCCATCACAAAAGGTATCTCTTGTCTTGGGGTTGGGACTTTGTTAGATGCTCATTACCGATTAGGACATCCATCTCTCCCATTAATGAAGCAAATGAATCCCCAATTTAATAAGATGACCTCTTTACAATGTGAGTCATGTCAATTTGCGAAACACCATCGTACTAGCTTAAGCCCGCGAGTTAATAAACGAGCAAATGCTCCATTTGACCTTGTTCACTCTGATGTTTGGGGTGCTTGCCCGGTTGTGTCTAAAGCTGGTTTCAAATATTTTGTTACCTTTGTTGATGACTATTCTCGTATGACATGGCTGTATTTCATGAAACGTCGATCTGAATTATTCACTCATTTTTCTTCCTTTTGTGCTGAAATTAAAACTCAGTTTAACGTTCCTGTTCGGGTGTTAAGAGGAGACAATGCCCAAGAATATCTATCTGCTACATTTAAGTCATTTATGCTTCAACATGGCATTATTCATCAAACTTCGTGCGTTGACACACCTCCTCAAAATGGAGTTGCAGAACGAAAGAACCGACATCTGTTAGAAACTGCAAGGGCTCTTCTATTCCAAATGAATGTGCCTAAACAGTTTTGGGCAGATGCCGTGTCTACTGCATGTTTTTTGATAAATCGAATGCCATCTTCTGTTTTGAATGGTAAAGCTCCTTATCATTGTCTATTTCCAAACAAAGAGCTTTTTCCTATCCCACCTAAAATATTTGGTTGCACATGTTTTGTTAGAGATGTTAATCCTCATCTTACAAAGTTAGATCCCAAATCATTAAAATGTATTTTCTTGGGTTATTCTCGAGTCCAAAAGGGGTATAGATGTTTTTGTCCGAGTACTGGTCGGTATCTTGTTTCTATTGATGCATCATTTCATGAAAATACACCTTTTTCATCATCTAAGGCAGATATTCATGAGAGTAATGATGATATACTCATTTACACGATGACTATTCCCGACTCCACACTTTCGACAAATATTCCACAAGTTACTGTTCTTGACCCTAGGCCTCCCGTACATTTGGTATACACCCGTCGACACAAAGCACCTGATCACCCTCCACCGGCGATACCTGTGATTACTTATCCTGATACTAGTTCAACTCCGATCTCATGTCCTGAACCAGTACTTGCATCTTCAGATCTTGTCTCCACATCAGATCTTGACCTCCCAATAGCACTACGTAAAGGTACACGGTCTTGTACTCATCCTATTTCTTCATTTGTGTCATACAATCAGTTATCTCCTGCTTCATGTTCTTTTATTGCTTCAATTGATTCTATTTCTGTTCCCAAATCTGTCAAAGAAGCTTTGTCTCATCCTGAATGGCGTCATGCCATGGTAGAGGAAATGAATGCTTTAGATCTTAATGGTACTTGGGATTTGGTTGACTTGCCTACAGGGAAGAAATCTATTGGATGTAAGTGGGTCTTTGTTGTTAAGGTTAACCCAGACGGATCTGTTGCTCGGTTGAAAGCCCGATTAGTTGCGAAGGGTTATGCTCAAACCTATGGTGTTGATTATTCTGACACTTTTTCTCCTGTTGCCAAATTAACATCTGTCAGGTTACTTATTTCACTTGCTGCAACTCATAATTGGCATTTGCATCAGTTGGACATTAAAAATGCATTTTTGCATGGTGACCTTAAAGAAGAAGTCTATATTGAGCAACCTCCAGGATTTGTTGCTCAGGGGGAGTATGGTAAGGTTTGTCGACTTCGCAAATCTCTTTATGGTCTGAAACAGAGTCCTCGTGCATGGTTTGGGAAATTCAGTCAATCAATTGAACAATTTGGAATGATAAAAGGCAAATCAGATCACTCTGTCTTTTACAAACAAACAGAATCAGGTGTCACATTGCTTGTGGTGTATGTTGATGATATTGTGATTACAGGGAGTGATAATGCAGGTATTTTGGCCCTTAAGAATTTTCTACATAGTCAATTCCAGACGAAAGATCTTGGCTCTTTGAAATACTTTCTGGGAATTGAGGTAACACGAAGTAAGAAAGGCATATTTCTATCTCAACGTAAATATGTACTTGACTTACTAGCTGAGACAGGGAAATTAGGGGCAAAACCAAGTACAACACCCATGGTTCCCAACGTGCAACTAACTCAAGAAGGCACACCGTTTGAAGACCCAGAAAGATATAGAAGATTGGTTGGAAAGCTTAATTATCTCGCAGTCACTCGTCCAGATATTGCCTATTCTGTGAGTGTAGTAAGTCAATACATGTCATCTCCAACCATTGATCATTGGGCTGCAGTAGAACACATATTATGTTACTTAAAGGGTGCACCAGGACGAGGTATTGTTTATCAAAACCATGATCACATGAGAATAGAGTGTTTTGCAGATGCTGATTGGGCCGGTTCTAAAGACGATCGAAGATCTACATCTGGTTATTGTGTCTTTGTTGGTGGTAATCTTGTATCTTGGAAGAGTAAGAAGCAGAATGTGGTTTCTCGTTCGAGTGCCGAATCAGAATATCGAGCTATGGCACAATCTGCATGTGAGATCATATGGATAAGCCATTTATTGACCGAGCTCGGACTGAAGACATCAATGCCTGCTAAATTGTGGTGTGATAACCAAGCTGCTATACACATAGCAAACAATCCTGTATTTCATGAGAGAACAAAGCATATTGAGGTCGATTGTCATTTTATTCGAGAGAAGATACAAAAAGGATTGATCTCTACAGGATATGTGAAGACTGGGGAACAACTTGGAGATTTGTTCACTAAAGCACTAAATGGAATTCGAGTTGGTTATTTATGTAACAAGTTGGGCATGATAAATATCTATGCTCCAACTTGAGGGGGAGTGTGAAAGTATATTAGAATATACTTTAGAATATGCTTTAGAATATATTAGGAATATACCATATATAGTATTATTGTATAGCATCTTTTATAGGAATATTCTATCTTTGTAATCTATATTTATAGGGCCTTACCCTTCAATGAAATACACAGAAAATCTTTCTCTCCATCTTTAATATCATTTTAGTTTGTATTTCAACAGGGTGTTTGCGGTTGATCCCCCCCAGTCATTGCTATGTGCCATTAGAGAAAAAAAGTTTTTTCCCAACTCAACAAATATGGTGGAAAGCAGACCAACCTGAGACCAGAGTACCCTGAGTCACCTGCTTGGAGCTATCCGATAATTGAGAACAAGGTCTTCAGGTTTCTTCCATATATAAGCCCGAACTGTGGCTAAGCTCATGTCAGGAGATAATACCTAACAAAGAACAAGTTTGTTTTATTTGTAAGAAATATATCTCCTACTCATTTGGAATACAGTGAATAAATAAAAACAAAAGCAACAAGTCTGAAGTCTCTCCTTCTACCCATATTTTTCTTCAATAACATTTTCTACTATGCCATTATGAACTCACAATCATTTGAGAATTTGCCTCGGTTTTTCTATAACATCCATATTGCTTGATTAGAAAAAATGCATTGCACGGCCGTGTTCTTTAAATTTGGAACACAAACAATTTTAAGTTTGACGATCACATTATAGTAAAATGAACTAGAAATCCATCCCCAAGGTAGATGATTAAGAGGCTTGCAGAAGCACCATACTGTAACACAATTAGAATATGTTCTAAAGCTTTAGATTTGCAGACACATACTTAGTTAAGTACTTAAGTCCTTTAATGCAATATTAAGGATTCATACAATATGCTCTACCAAAAACAAAAACAAATAGGATTCATACAATGCTCTTCCAAAAAATATAGGATCCATATAATGCATTATAGAAACAACAAAATCAGTCAATTGATGGGGTTCTTTTTTTCTTAAACTTGCCTGGTTGCTGCACAATATCTCAATACAAGGCTTAAGCTTTTGAAAAGGCTTAAGGCCTGCCCTGAAGGCAACATCTCCTCCAACAGCTGGGCCAGATCCTCCAGAAACAAAAGTTCCATCTGAATTCAAGCTATCCAGTTGCGGCTTATCGAGAACTATCTTTTCAATGACATAGTTGATTACCTTTATAAAGAATATTTAAAAAAACATTAGTCGTCAAATTAAGATGGAATTATACAGAGTATATTTATCATTTACATGAGACAATTGTAGAAAGGATCAAATGGTAGCACAAAATGAATGACATAGAAACTACTCTCTCCGTCTTTAAAAGTTCCCTACACTTTCCTTTTTAGGATGTATTTAAAAGTTCCCAACACTTTCCCTTTTTGGTATGTTTTTCCTTTAAAAATACTCAATTACCCTTACTTTTTCTACTTTTTATCCTCTCTTTCCTACTTTTTCATCTTCTCTCCTACTTTATATATACTATTCATTACCCTTACTATTCTACCTTAAATCTTGTGCCATAACCAAACGTAGTGATCTTTGAAATACGGAGGGAGTACTATTCTCCCATTTGAAGTGCTGAAGTCCTTTCTATGTAACTTAATGTCATGTCCTCTCATTTATATCATGTTCTTAGTTTCCATTTCATGCAACCACATTGTGATAGATAAACTAATACATCCCTACATCCCAAAAAAGGAGTATGATTTTGTCAAAGGAAGCTCCTTTTTAAGGAAAATTGCCAAAAAAAATACAAACAATTTAAATATGATATTTGGTTAAATCAATCAATCAACAACATCCAAAAGATGTTGGGGGAAGCTCCTTTAGATTTACGAATGCTTGCAGAAAATTCATTACTAGAATGGAAAGATTTGGGGGAAGAAAAGCGCACAGGGAATGAATGGGAAGATCGAAAAGCTACAAGACGAAAGGATTTTTTGGTTAGACGGATAGACTTAGCTAAACATTTTATTCGAACAAATATAGAACCAGAATGGATGGTTTTATGTCTATTACCAGTAATTCCTCCTGAGTTGAGACCTATTATTCAGATCGATGGGGGGGCCTTATTCCCAAAAGATTTTGGGGCCCGGATTACATGAATCAAACCATGATATTAATGGAATTTAGAATAAGAAGGATTGAGACTGAATAACTTAGTTTATTCCATGAAATGAGTTGCTATTTATACAATATTCTAGGGATTAATAAGGCAGGCTACTAATTATAATATTAAATACAAATATTTGTAACTGACGACTCTAATCAATTGTGTAACGGTTGTCTAGACTTTTCTTTGTCTAGATTCTTCTATAGATATTGGAGCCAAAAACAAAAGAAAAATAAGAAAAAGATAAGGTAAGATAAAAAGGAGAAATAAAGATAAAGATAAGACAAAAGAACATAAGAAAGATAAAAGATAAAAATAACATAAGAACATAAGAAAGATAAAGAAGGTAAAGAGGATAAAAGAAAACGAGAGAGAAAAGAGATCAATCCTCCACACAAATATGCGCCCTCCACTTTTAAAAATCAGAGGGATTTCAAAACTATTAACAAATCTACCTTTCCAAAATTACAAAGTTGTACCTTGGCCAAACAGGAGTCTTTTAGGTGGAGGGGGTATAAAAAATCAAAAGAATGTCAAAGTGATCTCTAGAACTAATTTTTCATCTGAATTAAAGTGCATGTAAAAACCTCTTACCTTATGAACTCTCAAGATACGTGGGGCACTCAGTTTTCCTTGAGTATGTATTTGAACACTAGAACCCTCACATGGATGCAAATAAAAGCTGCATCTGCAGAAATAGATTATACAATAAAGAGCTGAGAAAATAATTCTGACACTGCTACGAAAATGAAAGTTTAGTCATGCTCCTATGAGATAGACATCAATACGTCATCATCAGAACCTTAGTCCCAACAAATGGGGGTGGACCACATGGAATTTAAGGTATCAATTAATCTAAAATTAGCTCAAACACTAAAAATTCAGGCAAAAATATATATATCTGTATAAAACCGTCATAATCTAACTAAAAAGAATAATTAGATGAATATATAAAACCGCCATCATCATTACAAGATTGGAATGACGCAAATCATTAAACATAACTGCATTAGAGAAAGCCATAGGTCTTCTTTTTAGATTGTATTTTATTACAGGAAATGTGTTTCTTCTCATAAAACATAGATTTTCCGTGGTAAGAGCTCCAATACCCTTTTAAGTATGTAGATACTGAGATTAATTATCAGTGAGAATTAAGTATGAATATATATTTCCAGTAATACGTATGCATACATATTTCAGTAATAAGTATCACTGAGATTTATTTAGTATGAAACAAGTATTTCCCCTGATAAGTATCACTGAGATTAATTAAGTATGAATATATATTTCCAGTAATAAGTATCACTGAGATTAATTAAGTATGAATATATATTTCCAGTAATAAGTATCACTGAGATTAATTAAGTATGACTATATATTTCCAGTAATAAGATGTGATCTAAAAATGTTTTTGAAAGGGTTCCTCAATCTAATAAAAATTTAATGCATTGTCATTATCCAAGAGTGGAAATAACTCCAAAATTTTCTAGATTCCTAGCAACATCAAAACCAAGAAAAATCAATACAAGAAATGAAAACAGTTAGAAATTAAACACACTTGGTATTTTCCCTCGGAGGAAGGCGATTGTTCAACACACAGTCCAGGACCCACCATGGGAAGTCCTTCTCATCTGTCATTCCATCTAAGTCTGTAATTTTCTTTCTCCATGGCCCGCCTTGAGAGCCCTCCGTAATGATAGATGGAGGGGAAAGTGCTGAAAACTCAAACGGTGGATAAACAACAGAATCATTATCTGTGTTACTATCTGCCTCAACTCTTGATACAGCTAAATTCCTAGTAGAGATGTCTTTCCCAGGCAGGACTTCCCCATTTCCTGACACTGTGGATCCAAATCTCTGCTTTCTTTTGGTTAACCAATGAACCAAAAGACCTTTAAGGGTTTCCCGCGCCAAGTTAATCTATTACATAAGTAGGAGATACTGGGAATCAGTTCTATTTATATCACAAAGCTACTTGAACAGAAAAACTGCAAGGTAATTTAAAAAGGAACCATTCGAAGGAACGTCACTTGGTCAATTTTAGAAGAGTGCAAAGTGGGTATCAGTTCTACTTAAATCACAAAGCTATTTAAACAGAAACTTTATAATTTAACCTGAAAACATGAGAAGGCACATCACTTAGCCTACAAGTTTATCCACGAATAGATCATCCACATAAGAAGAAAAAAATGAATATCAATATTCTTGATTTGAGGATGATTTAACTTTACTGGTCTGAGTAATACGTGTACTAGGACTCTAGGAGTTAATAAATCAATTGTTACCATATATGGAGTTGTTTTTTGTTTTAAGTTCTCATTTTAATTACATGAGTATTTTATGAGTACTTAGCGATAATTAGCATAACTATTATCATAATATCATCTAAACCTAGCTCAGAGTACTTGATCATACATCTCAATTGTTATACCTTAATCCATGTTATTGGTACAATTTGTTACTATGCATATTTCCCTTCAAGGAGTGACATAAGAAAAAAACATGATGATACACAAGGCAATATGAATCAAAAAGTGAAACACACAAAAATCCTAGTAAATACTTTGTCATCCTCGGGCTTCCCAGCAATGTTAAGGTCCACAGAGTACATCTCAGCAGAGAAGCATTGTGGTGTATCCAAATGTACAGACAAGCTTCCAAGTCTCGTATCCACGGTAAACCACGCAGGTATGCTTACCTGGAGAAGGAAACATAAGTTGAAAGGAGAACCAAGTGGAAACCTCAGTAAGTGCTTACTATTAACTATTAGATAACGGGTTCCCACCATCTCAAAAAGTTCTTCTTTCTTCTTCTCGAACGAAACCTAGTCAGTAGACATGGGGGGGGGGAAGAATTTGAAAAGGCAGAAAAGGGAGATTATATCAAACTAAAATCATATTATTACATTCTGGGAAGGAATTAAATCATTTCATACTAACCTCACCAAAATTTTCAATCACAGTGCCCCTGGTGATTTCCCACAATTTCACAGCGCCAGCAGTATCCTTGGAAAGACAGAGTTAAGTATCAGAGTGCAAACATCAAAAACGCAAGGACCAATATGGGAAGTTAACCCTAATGTTTATTATTACCTTTGTAAGGACATGTCTTCTGTTGTTTAGAATTTCATGCTTAACTATTCCTGGAGTCCCAGGGATACTACATGACGGTTCTCTATAAACAGGCACCTGCAGAGTTTTGTGACAGTCATTTTCATGCTCTCAAAGATCTCAAAGATTACACCTCAGAATAACAGAGCGAAGTACAATGAGCATAGCAATGACGAGGATTCACAGGAACAGATTGACAAGCACATAAGGAGAAACTTGATAATGATTACTAAGCAGCACATCAACTCTTCAAAATTGATTCTCCATTTAACCGAACCAGCCAACCACTAGTTATAGAAACAGAAAGACCACAGATTTAACAAAAGCATAACACGTTCTTTTAAACATTAAACATTATTACTATTATCATTTACTGAAGATGTGGATTGCTTAGGTCATTAGGTGTACTCTCTTTATACCAAAAGGGGGGACCATTAGGTGTACTCTCTTTATACCAAAAATGACAAGTGAGCTATGACTAGGATTTTTGTCATAACAAAAACATAAGACTTTCTTTTAAACATTAAAAATTACTATTATCTTTTTCTGAAGATGTGGATTGCATAGGTCAATAGGTGTACTCATTAGATGGCTCAGAAGTTATGTACTATACCATTTCATCCAGTCAAAATGAAAGATCTGAGAAATCACAGAGAATGTTCACAGATTGTAGTTTCTAGAAGCCCCCCCCCCAAAAAAAAAGAACAATTATTTAAAAACAAAACCTCGAAGCTTGCACTATATGTACATACCATTTCATAGTCCCTCACTCCCTTGTGTTCATTTCTTTTCTTATTGTTTTTCATTTTAGTTTTCCTGGGCATAAACTCAAATAAGAAAAAAGGTAGAGAGGAGCCATATCACATAACTTCCACGAACAACTTATTCAATTATTATTTTTCTTTTTTTTCAATTGTAAAAATGAAACAAAGTTGTCCGGAAGAGCAATAATGCCAAAACCAAATTATGGTGAACTTGTTAAGCAAAGGTAACACAGGTCCCTGAAGATGAATACATAGGTGATCAAACCACTTTGAAACACATGAGAAACTTAAGAAGAGTAATGATGACGTACAGGTGTTGATCCCTCCAACGAAATCCTTGCCCTAGAAAATGACAAATTTCCCGCCAAGAATGAACCTCCTATTTGAAAAACTTTCAGAGGATTGTGCACTTCTGCTGGCCATCTATGTACAGAAGAATCAGTTGTTGCAACCCAGATACCATCATCATGCAATGCCAATTGCACGATTGGGTGTTCCTTTGTATAAAGTAGTACACTCTCTCGTGTTGCCAGGTCTGTCAAGTATAACTACAATAAAAAAAAGTACAGCTTAAAGGAGACTGATATATAATAGGTAGAGACTAGGAAAATGAAATAAACAGTATTTATTGAGGTTAACACAATTTGAACATACAGATAGGTCTCTTCCACCACTGTAGACGTGACTAAATGTTGGAGTGCTAGCAAGTGCCCAAACAGAATCTGTGTGCACAGCATAGGAATGCACACATCTCTGTTGGCCAAGATCCCATAGTCTACATTAATTTAAGAATTTCAAGTTAAATTTGTGATGGATAAGACAAAACGGATTAGGATAAAGTGATAAACAGGATTTTCTTTGTGGTATAATTGATTTCACTTCCTGGCAGGAAATGAACTCCATAAGTTTCCAACTTCCTAATTTATTGGCTAATAAAGGAAACTAGGAAAAAACATGCAAATTCACAAGAAACCATTTATAAACTCATTAAAAATATCCTTTTTGGTACTACAATACATATCATATAGGATACAAAAATGAAATTCAACTAATATGAAGTATGCATGTGCAATAGATAACCTTTTGACTCATACATAGCTATTTATGTTAATTACTTATGTTTACCTGATCATTGAATCGGATGATCCTGATAGGCAGAACCTGCAATTGGTCATTGATGAAGCTTTATCACTCAAAACCACTAGGTTAGTCAAACAACACACAGGCATACAACCAAAACGAACACGTCAAATAGACAAATTGGACTGTCTTAGAACAATGCATAGTGTCCCCTTTACCACCAAAATACTTGCACATTGCCAGGAAGCTTCAAGTTAGCACTTTACAATTCCTTATTACAATTCTTAGGTTGTTGTGAAGTAGGGAACCAAGCTATAATTTCTTTTGCTTCTTTAGGATTGTGAAGCAGCAGATAACTTTCAAATTTCATTCGACTAATAATAAATCAATCCACAAAGAATAAGTTACTCCATCATATATTAGCTAGAATCTAAGATATGATTCTTTTTACTTCTTTTGGAGAATATGGATATGGGGATTTAGAAGGCAATCTCTAGTATTGTAGCATCTTTGGACTTTTCTCTTGCACACTTTCTGATCACATAGTGCAATTTTGATTTGATACCATGATACCATCAGGCCATAGAAACATTGACAGCCAAAAGCTAATGTCCAACAAACCTGCCAGTAGAATCCAGAAGCAGTGCTCTAATATTATCAGTATGCCCTCTTAGTTTCATAGTCTTTGATCCCGTCCTTGGATCCCAAACACGTATAACCTATAAAAATAAGTCAAAAAATTGTACCACGAACCAGAAATTCCGTAACTCAAATAAAAATAAAGGTATGAAAATGAATTCAATGGTCATCTCCTACTTCTGTTATAGTCTTATAGACAAGCCTAAAAATCCAAAGATCTTAAAATTATGAAATCATTAAGAAAATGCTAAGAAATGTATAAGAAAATAAGTGATGCATCTTTCAGCTGCGACCATAGTATAGGGGAAACCAAAATCTCAAAAGATAACAGCTAGCCGTCACTTCAGAACTCACAAACTAGAAGTAGCTATCCTACTAGAATATACCTTCTCAGTTCCACCAGACACAAGTAGAGTCCCTGTCTCATTCATAGCTAATGCATAAACTGACTCCTTGTGCCCTTTTGCAGCAGTAGGAACATACCCTTGGGACTGAGTAGTATGTGATGAAATATTGTTGCTTGAGCTAGTAGGTCGGAGACTTGTAACGGGTAACGAAATTCCTGAACTCGTGACACCATTAGAACATTCATCTTCATTGCCATCAATCATCTTAGAGATGGGAGCGAGTGCTGCTTCAAGATCCCATACAAAAACTTCTCCACCAAGGCCAGCAGAGGCGAAAATGTTTTTCTATCATGAAATATTACAGGAATGAGGGTCAGAAAATAATTAATGGAAACCAAATGCAGACTTTGCCTCAAGATTGATGTGCATGTTCAAATTGAAGCAATATATGCAATAACCATGCACCACAGTTAATAATTAAAGGAAGCATTCCTCATTTGAATTTACATTTTCTTCTGCTGCAGCAAGGCATGTGACATAATCAGAATGCTGACGAAGTGTCCCAGCACAAGTCCCATCAGACAAGCTATTCCATACCTGAACATCCAGTAAAAATGAAAAGATAAGCATAGCCATATAGATACAGATATGAATTTTAAGGGGCAAGGGGCGTCAAAGAATTTCAAGTGAAGGATATACCTTGACTGTAGTGTCCGAGGAGCATGACACTAATGTGTTACCACCTGTTAGAACAGCATCATTTACCTGCATAATTACTACTTAGCAAACCCCAAAACATAAAATGCAGAAGATGACTCCGAAACACTTGAAAAATACATAGAAGTAGGAGGGAAAGGGATGAAACAAAATTTGACTTAGAAGCAATTTTTCTAAGAAATTATGAACAACTGTTTCATAACAGTCACCTGTTCTTATCACCAGAAGGTAAATGAGGTGATCTTTTGAATTTAGAGTTCATAAATTAACTTTCGAGGTTAAATTTTAAAAAAATGATTGTTAAAACTTAAAAGCAAATGGGATATGCAAATCATAAAAGGTAGCAGCAAGTCCAAAAAAAGGAAAATAAACGAGTAATGTCAGGCTTGACATAGCTTAAAAGAACGCTTAGGCAATGGTAGTGAAAATGAAAATGGTAGATACCCAATCAACATGGGACTCAAACGTTGCAGAGCACGTGGCACCATCTTCAGCCAAAGTCCATCTTTTTAATGTGCCATCACGACTCCCAGTAAATATGTAGTCATGCTTATCAGTAACAGCTGAGTTTGATACTGCCAAGCAATTGACACCAGCACAGTGCTGCAAATAAACCAAATGGCAAAAAATTTAACACTTCTCTTGCAACATATGCAATCCATGGATGGACTACTAGAGCCGCTTCTATTTAGTATAAAAGGTCAATAAATTAATGTGGTCCAATACAAATTAGAATGATTAACATGCATTTCAGATTCCAAATAAAACTAGCGTTAAGTGAGGAAATTGTATACCAATCAGAGGGCCGTAATAAAAAATGGCACTGACAAATTCAAAACGATGAGATGTATAAATACGACAGACACAACCAAGTGTTGATCCAGATTCAACGGGGTCATTCTAAAATGTATTACCTTCTTCCAGAAGATAATGTCCCAAACACGTTTTTGCGCAATGTTAATAAAAAGCATTTTTATCTTGGCCCATTTGTTTCATTAGTGTTATTACTTATTAGTGAAGGAAAAACACACGTAGTATTTATTTTTGTTTAATTTTAACCATTTTAGGAAATGAGACAATAAAAAGGGGCAATGTAATTGGCACAATGTACAAATATCATGGTTTATCTTCACAAATGAAACATCCAAACAATCCCTCAAGTGAATACTACTGGGGGGTGCTTAAATAAAGAGCTTAGAACCCAAAAATTGGATCGCGGATATCGGATATTATACTAACATCTGTTAGCATGTGAAGATGAGAAACGTACGAAAACTTTAATATCATATAATTGAGGGAGTTGAAGGACCTCAACATAAAAGAAACTGTATGACAGAGAATGCACACTTTACACACAAAAACAGCGGCTGGCTTTCCGTTTTCACCTCTTACAGACTTCAGATGATTTTGTAGTAAAGTTTGTAATCTGGGCCTGTATGTAGTTAGCAGTATACTTCTTTCAATCATCTCTGTGAGAAATATTATAGTAATGACTAATGATAGCCTATATGGGCCGGATATGGCTATATTATTATAAATAAAAATGGGGATAGGTGTCAGGTGAAACTCCTGGAAGTAGCATGAGTCAAAGTGTGTTCTTTAGACACGATTTTCCCCTTTAAAAGTGATGCCCATGACATTAGAGAGGTATATGTTATATAAAACACCCCTCCATGACCCTCATTATTCTTTTCCCATGAAAAAAATGACTTGAAAACTATGATAAAGTGCACAACTCATTCCCCCTGCCCCGTGCTACATTTTCACTACTTTGTGATAATTTATATCACATTCTCCTCTGACCATGGTTTTAAAAGGCGTTTAGCCTTTACACATCTGACGCGCAAAGGCGCAAGAGCGTACGGTCTCCGCCTCAAAGGCTGTAGCCTTACATTCCCCTAACAAGGCTTAAAAATCAATTCAGATTTTGAGGACGGAGCTCAACCGGAGTTGCTTCCTACAGAAGTGTGTACGGTCTCCACAAAGAGAACGTAGGAAGAAACACTATCTGATTGAAGAAGAGTTGCTCAACCGGCAATTTGGGCTCTTTTGTTGAGATCCAACTCTTTTTGGGGACAAAAAATCATTTTACGAAGACTATGAAAAATCCATTCAGATAAGAAATGAGATATATTCCTTCATTGTCACCTTTCTAAGTTCTAATTAATACACTTTAGACAAGATTCGTAGGGATAATTCATTTTGCCAAAAGAAGAGCTTTCAAACCCCATAAAACAGGAGGAAGAATTAAAATGAAATTAGAGTCACCTTAGTATCATCTGCATCATTCAGTACATAAGTCAGCCTCTTCTCCTTCCGAGGCCTACTTGAGTTGGAAGTATTACCTACACTCGCTACGCGGTGCATTGCAGAAATCACTGCATAACCCTCCAAATAATTATCCAACACACAAAAATTTAAAATTAATATACTTGCTTCATGTGATAGATACGTGCCATATATAAATATACAATAGATTATACCAAGCTCCAATGAAGAAATAAGTATCTTGGCACACAAATAGCATCACCATCCAAAAATCATATGGAAATACAGAATTATTATTACTGATCATTTGTAACTGGAAAAAATAGGAAACTAAAAAAAATGTAGGAAATTAGTGATGTGATTAAAAATGATTAATTTGACACGCTGATTAGTAATTATACTTATATGAAGACGCTAATCAACTTCCCAACCATTGAAAAAGAATTCAAGCCTAACCGGGAGAGAAATCGTGTTGCAGACACTAAGATACACCTCAGGAACGTGTAGTAACGAGGCGTATGGTTGATCGGATATGAGGTCAGAGGGCCTCGGGCACACGGGGATACACACAGGGATAATTCGGAGTGGAACTTTTTAGATGCACAGCAGACGGAGCAAGGACTCGAGTTGTGGTTAACCGTTAACAAGAAGCTGGCAGAGGCGATTCCGGGCGATGGGAAGGGATTATTCTGCAGGAGAGTGGAGAGGGACGACGGAGAACCTTCACACTCCACAGATAGATGGAAAGAAAGAGATCTGTTCTGTTTGGGGACAGCTGGGCATAGCGGAGCTTCTTTTCAGTTCTTCTGCTTACTGCCTGCCTCTTTGGACCATTCTTCTTTCTACTTCCACAATTTGAGGGCACTCGCTTTACCTCAACCATTTGCAACACCTCATGCTTTTAAAAGAGTGCTTTTTTTAGTGAAATGAGAAGAAAGTGATTAAATAAAAGTTGATAGTGTTGGAGAAAAAAGTGATTTTGAAAAGTAAGAGTGGATAGTGTTTGGTAAAATAAGTGTTTTTTGTGTAATAGAAAAAATAAAAGCACTTTTGACGCGGAAGCCGAGAAAAATAAAAGTTGTAGTGTTTGAAAAAATAAGGGCCTGTTTACTAACAGAGATATTTTCCAGTTTTCCAGAAAACTGAAAAACTGGAAAACAGAAAAAAGGAAACGTGTTTACCAAAGAAATTCCTGGAAAACTGGATAAAGGAAAAAAGAAAAACGCGTTTTCCAAATCGTTTTCCAAAACGGAAAAAATGAGACATGTCTCTCTTTTCCTTAATGATTTGGAGAAGTGACTTTTATTAGTTTTCCAAATTTGGAAAACGCAGATGCTACAGTGCTGCTGCAATGAATTTGCATAATTACACTTAGTGGTGGGTCCGGTCCCGCTCCGATGTCGATTCCATTCTGGTACCTCCATCCTCGTACCTTACCCCTTACCCCTACCCTACCTTACCCACCCAACCCCACCCCGCATACCCATTTTTCCCTATAATGGCCCTACCCCACCCCGATCCACCCTACCCTACCGCCACCTCCTACCACCTCGACCCCACCCTACCCTACCCCCACTCGTATATTACCCCTTACCCCTTACCACATGCCCCTACCTCGGCCCCACCCCACCGCCATCCTACCCCCACCCTCGTACCGCCATCCTACCCCCACCCTTCCGCCATCCGACCACCATCCTACCCCCCACCCTACCCTTTCCCTACCTCGGCCCCACCCAGATCCTGGGCCCACCCTATCGTCATCATATCCCACTACACCTACCTTACCCCAACCCTACCCACTACCCCCACCCTTACCGCCATCATACCCCCACCCCCTACCCCTTCCCTACCTCAGCCCCACCGTGGTCCCGGCTCCACCCTACCGTCATCTTATCCCAACTCCATACCATACCTCTACCTTACCCCAAACCCTACCCACTACCCCACCCTTACCCCTAACCACGACCCTAACCCACCAACTACCCCCACCCACCCCCCTACCCTAGACCTTATCACCCCACCCCGACTATACCCCTTACCCCACCCCCACACATAACTTCCCCACCCCGACCCCTACGAGTAGGTATGGGTGGGTATGAAGGGTTGTGGGGGAGTATGGGTAGAGTGTAAGATCGTGGTAAGGGTAGGGGTCAAGGGTGTGGAATTGGAGAACTGGGTGAAAAAATTGATGAACATGTTTTCAGATTTGAAAATGGAAAACTAAAAAATAGAAACAGAAAATTGGAGATAGAAAAACTGAAAAATAAAACAGAAAATTGGAGAACGAAAAACAGAAGTAGAAAACAGGAAAATATCTCTGTTAGTAAACAGGCCCTAAGTGTTTTTTTAAAGCCAAAAGCTGAGAAGTGCTTTTTTAAAAGCAGTTGCAAACCAACCCTAAGGGGTGTTTGGCTCACTTTAGCTCAAACACTATAAAGGGTGTTTGGAACTGATTCTTCTTCTACTTCCTTTTTAAAGCAGAAGCAGAATCAGAATCAGTTTTCAGAAGCTGGTCTCCCCCGTAAATTCCATGGTACAGCGGGCTGTACCGTGCACACGGTACAGCCAGCTGTACCGTGCACACGGTACAGCCGGGTTTTTTGTAATTAATCTCTGCGCTGCAACTCATCTGCGAAGAAGAAGGGCATCGATGAAGACGGAACATCAACTTCCCAGGTCTCCAACTTGCGAAGCAACCCAAGCCGCCACATACTCTGATTAATTGGCGCAGTGAAACGTGGATTTCGCTTTTGACCTGAGATTCAATTCTTCACACCCCCTGTTTCTGGGCTGGCTTATAGAAAGAAGAAGGGAAAGGAGTTGAAAGCTCTTTGTGGATCTGTTTGTATCGAAATGAGTTTAATATTAAAGGCAAATGAGTTTAATGTCTAAAAGGAATGAATATTCACAGATGAATATTGACACATAAGAACTGAGTTTGTATGTTAAACTCAAATGAGTGTCGTGCCCAAAATGAATGAGCATACACAAATGAGCTTTTGAATTTTTTAATACTCATTTTGTAAGTTATGTATGCTCATTTGGAATCACTTTATGCTCATTTTAAAAGGTTGCACATTTCAAACATATCATATTACATTAGAAATTAGGGGTGGGCAAAAATACCGAACCGGCATGGTACCGAACCGAACTGGTATGGTACCGAACCGCAAAACAGGGTTTGAAACGGATCTCAATTTTTTTGTCCCGAACCGGACCGTACCGGTTCTAAACAATGCCATGATCGGTTCTCATAAAATGAAAATCGCTACCGGACCGAAGTATTTATAATTAATTAAATTTACATTTACACCATTACTTTGACTAGTGCCTTCACACTTTCAGCGCCTTTGCTAGTTCATAGGAAGTCTGGAACCGGATCAATGTAAGGTTTAATTATTTAAATTAGTACTATTATAGTTCATCTGAAATTTATCAATTATGTAATACTACCTCAATTCCAAATTGATTTGCAAAATTAACTTTTCTTGGTTAAATAGTTTCATTTTATTCACTTAATTAGGATGTCAAATTTTAATTATATTTAATTTCGAGTTTGCAACTTTGAAGAGATTTTAATGTGGTTTTTGAATATGTAAATTTTAATTGTTAAAAAATGAATTAATTATCGATAAAGATGAATTAACTTTAACATTGATTGACAAAAAAATATTGACTTTGCATATCAATTTATCAATTTGGGATGGAGGGAGTATGAAAATTGATAAATTGTGTGGATTTATGTAGGATGACTAAACTTTAATTTTCTCTTAAACACTTGGAAAAAAATGACATTGTTTGGTATTGGTATAGCATGGTACCGTCCCGTTTGAAAATGGAACCGTACCGAATGGGTTTAGGTCTAAGACCGAACCGAACCGAACCGTTTGAATAGTAACGGTACGGGTACGGGTTCAGCCAAATATTGGACCGGACTGGACCGCGCCCACCCCTATTAGAAATGAGTTTTATGTTAAATTCACATGAGTATAACGTTCAAAATGAATGAGCACACACAAATGCATTTTTTGATTTTTTTATACTCATTTTGTAAGTTATGTGTGCTCATTTGGTACTGCTTTATGCTCATTTTAAAAGGTTACACATTTCAAACATATCATACTACATTAGAAATGAGTTTTATGTTAAATTCACATGAGTATAACGTTCAAAATGAATGAGCACACATAAATGCGTTTTTTATTTTTTTATACTCGTTTTGTAAGTTATGTGTGCTCATGTAGTACTGCTTTATGCTCATTTTAAAAGGTTGTGCATTTCAAACATATCATATTACATTAGATTCACATATTAAAAGTAATTGAAATTGATTATAGACATAACTTAAGACTTTTTAATAAACGAAAAATAATAAACAGAAAGTGATGTATAAGGTATGAAGCAGACATCATTGATGCTCACCGTTAGGCTCCTATTACTCAAAAGAACAGACATGATGCTCAACAAAATTGCGTTAATGCTCATTCAAAAGAAGCCACGTTTTCCATAAAAAATGCAAAAATGTCACCGACTGTACGGATGGCACCGTACAGTCGGTGGTATAGTATACGCTTCCGGTCTCCCCCAGCTTCTAAAAAAATTGATTCTAGAAGTAAATTAGAGCATCAGAATCACTTCTGCACTTTCACCCAAACACTCCAACTTCTGCTTCTGCTCCCTGAAGGAGCAGAAGAAGTTTTAAGAATCAGATCCAAACACCCCCTAAGATGTTTTCTTTTGGACTGAAATTTGCTGGTTTGGTCTGGTCTGGTCTGAACTGGTTTGGTCTAGTCTGGTAAATGTATGGTCTCTGTGTATTTTATAACTATGGAAGTCTGGTCTGGTCTGATCTGGGACTGAAAACAGTCCAAAAGAAAACATCACAATATCTGTTTTTGCTCCCTTTAGAAGCAGAAGTAGTTTTGAGAAATTGATCCAAACACCTCTTAAATGCAATTTCAAACAAATTGCATTAAAATGTAACTTGTTAAGGCAAATTAAAATATAAATCGCGTTAATTTAAATGTAACTTGAGACACATGAAAATGTAAATAACGTTAGTTGAAATATAAACCTTGTTTGTATACTACTACTACTATTACTACTACTACTACTACTACTACTCCTGCTACTGCTACTCCTACTGCTACTGCTGCCGCCGCCGCCGCCGCTCCCAGAACTATTGCATCTCATTACAAGGATCTCTGAATTCAAGTCCTTCACAGAAAAACCAGAAGGATCAAGTTCGACAGAAACATTATTATAAGTGGTGAATTTGCAAACAGATATAAGATTTCTAATAATGGGAGGGGGTAATAAGGGTATTTTTAAGGTGTAAGTTGCGGTTGGGTAGGGCTGTGGTTTTGGTGCCATTTGGCGACCACAGAAATGCAATTTCCATTTCAAACTAGAATAGAACGTACAATGCTTTGATTTAAAACATGAGACAAAGTACATGGATTCACCATTAGATGTTTGATGTGGTAAACCCTTGGTACAAATGTCATATAACCACATCAAACCCTCGGGAAAAGAATCGCATATTCAAATGGGTTTACAGAATCAATTATAAATCAAATGGCGATATAGAACGCCATAAGGCTAGATTGGTAGTTAGGGGTTTCACTCAAGTTGAGGGAGTTGATTTTGACAAGTTTTTTACACCGGTTTTCAAGCTTATCATGGTGTGATGCATGTTAGGATGTTTTTACTTGGACTGTAATCTGTCCCAGACCAGACTAGACCAGACTTGGATAATTATAAAATACAAAGAAACCAGACCAGAACAGACCATACCAGATCAGATCAGACCAGCAAATTACAGTCCAAGTAAAAACATCCTTAGACGTCATAGCTAAGTGTAATTGGAT